AGGGACCACGATGCACGTGTCAAGGAGCCCCCCCCCCACATTCCCATTTGTGCTTGGTAGCACAGCCAATTGCATTCTAGACAGCTAAGTAGGTCCCTAAAACTGTTGGGAATTGCTGGGGTGCGGCACTGAATGCTTTCTCCTAGATTCTGTGCTTTAAGGTTAAAAAAAACAACAATAACAAAAGCATTCGGCATCCAAACCCCAGGCGCGGCTGGCCGCGTTGGGAAGCTGAGCTTCCATCTTATTCTGTGATTCATGCGCACAACAAGAACTAAATCGGGCAGGGGGTGGGGGGGCTCGGCACCCATCTGACACTCCCTTGTCAATACTCAGCTGGAAAAGAAGCAGGCCCTGCCTCCCTTCCAGCCCCAGATCACCGACGACTATGGCCTGGACAACTTTGATACGCAGTTCACCAGCGAGCCCGTGCAGCTGACTCCCGACGACGAGTAAGTCCTGCGCAACATACCCCCCACCTGCCCCCACTAACGTCAGGGTGGGACAAGTCCTGAGGAGCCCAGCTCCACAGGGGGAGGCAGCCTGTGTCCAGACCAGTGGGTGACCTCTGCGGTGCAGGATGGTGGGAAGGATGGTGCCTGAGGGCTGCCTCTATTCACCCCCTTTCCTGTGCCTCCCAGGGACGTCATAAAGAGGATCGACCAGTCTGAGTTTGAAGGCTTTGAGTACATCAACCCACTTCTGCTCTCTGCTGAGGAGTCCGTGTGAGGCCACGAACGCCTCTGCTGTGGACACGCCTGTGAATGACCCTGTCCCTTTACCCTTAACCACAGCATATGCACGCCAGGCTGGGCGCGAGGCTCCGAGCAGCCAGAGAGGGATGCTGGCCACCAAGACCGCAGAAGGGGCATCCAGCAGGCACTTCTGGACAGAGCAGTCTCTTGTGTCCAGGCCCCAGAGGCCGGCTTTGTGCTGGAGGGATCGCTTCCTGTGCCCATGGCAGCCCTCCCTACCAGAGGGCAAGACAGTCGCAGCGGCGTAGTGAAGGTGCACGTTTTTTCCACAGAGACAGAACTCAATGCACTGACCCGCTCCAGGAAAGTTAGCGTGTAATGCCCTGAGGAATAAAATGTACCGATGATGTCGAGGCTCCCTCTGATGCCTTTTTTCTGAGTGGTACCGGCCTGCCGTCCCCAACCCAGCCCCCCACGTGAGGAGGGGCTGCGTTTTCCGAGCAGGCAGAGCGTAGGCAGGGGACGGGCACCCAAGTGCCTGCAGGGATGCACTACGACAGTAACTGTTACAGATTCGGAACATTTTTCTAAACCCCGGTAAGTTCTGCTGTTAATATTTAACAAGTATTTTCATACCTTAGTGCGGCTAGCCATGATAGTCCAAGGCTGAAGTGACGCCCTGGCCAGGTTGGTGGCACTGTCTCCACCAGCCCTTTGGACTCCGATTGGGGGAAACTGGATTATAGAGATTCTAAAACATTGTTCACCAAAGCACCAGTAAACCAAATAAATAGGTAAATAAGTAAAAAAGGGAAAATAATTGAAAACTAAATCCGCACAAAATATATTTCTGAAAACACTACTAGCCAGTGCCTCCAAGATGTCTTGTGTTATACATTAGATTTTTGGAAAATATTTTTATCACTAATACTCCAGATTAGAAAATTTAAAGACACGTGTGTGATGGACCCTAGCCTTAAAGCGACAGAATACCCATAATCCCGTACTCTTCCTGAGAGGAAGCATGTCTGCTTCCGAAACTGTTGTGCTCAGCCATGCTCCTCCTCCTGATTAGAGGCAGTTCGGGAGGCCAACCCAGGGCTCTCTGGAAAGAGGTTAGCTAAGCCCTCAGCAGGTTAGGTGCGGCAGGAGGTAGAGAAGTTGCCTCCTTCTCCTGGGGTGAGACACTGGTCACACCCCAGGACTGCCCAAGCCAGGCTGGCCCGTGTAGCAAACACGCTGCATACCCCCGACCCTGCCAGAGTGAGGCAAAGCCCAGCCTCCCGCCAGGGCTGCTCCATGCCTTGGGGCCAGTGGCCCTGTCAAAAGTCAAAGCTGGAGGAAACGAAAGGTTAGAGGGGCTGTCGCAGCGCTGCCCTCACCCCAATACACTCAGGTTCCTAGGGCCATTGCCTTGTCTGGCATTGAACACATCAGAGCCACACCCAGGTCCACGGTGCTGGGACAGAACAGGCAGCCCAGGCTTCGGACATCATACATACCCCAAGTCTAGGCTTCTGGGTGGCGCTCTGTAACTCATATTGAACGTGGACACACACATTTCTACCAGCACTCCCAGTGTCCATCAGTAAGACTTGTTCCCAGCGACAGGTCAAAAAAAAAAAAATGCAAAGAGCCTAAGAGCCAATTTTTGGGCCTCCCAAGGGTGTCCAGCCCAGCCTGGGGATGTTCAGGTGGCTGGAGCCCCAGTCTGAGGGCCATGCAGCCACACCTGCCTATGAGCCAAGCTGCTGAGATGAAAGAGCCCACAAATGGTCCAAGAGCAAACCGGCTCCCGCAAGCTCCTTTCCTCCCAGTGTGCTGCCTGCCCAGGGACAGCGACAACTCCTTTGCCCACACAGCACAGGGGACCCTTGGTTTGTCAGAGACGAGGGTGGTGATTTGGACACTGCCCTATCGCCAAACGACTTGCTGGTTACTGGTTCGGCTGCTCATGTACAAATGTGTGAATAACATTGTGCCCACCAGAGGGGGAGATTTTTATATATAGCAATTTGTTTTATAAATTAAAGAAAGTGAAGGATGTATTGACCTGTGACTTGAGGGGGGAGGGGGTGGGAAATGCCCTAACGTTCGCAAACGGCTCCGGGCAAGATAAGTGTGTCTTTTGAAAATGGTTCGCGGGGAAACACTGGTGACCCTCATGATTGTAAAGCAGTAACCATAACCATGTGGTTTTGTACAATTGATCAGTGGAGCCCATCGCCAGCCGGCGTTCCTTCTGTGGATGATGTTCTCGCCCTCCACGGCCAAGGTCGTTCGTATCCTTGCACATCTATTAAAGACTTTGACGAACATGCCCTTATTGTTATTGTGTTGGAAGTAGGTATACGGTGAAAGCAAAGGGGGTTATTTTTGTCGCCCCCCCCCCGCTCCCATTTTCCTAAGAGTCCCTTCCTAGAATACATTTACGCTCACAACACAAAGCAGAAAACCAAGTGCCCCACATGCATGCCACTGTCACCACCCCTATGAAATGAAGATCCCCATGGCACGGCCCCGTTCCTCCCGATGTGTTCCAGGACAGATGTGCCACTATAGCGTCTGGCTCCACCGCCACCCCACCCCCGGCTCTCCCCAGCTCTGTGCTGTCTCCGTGGTTTTATTTTCTCAGGGTTTAGCTTTGGGGTTGCAGTTAGAACGTTACCGGCCTGACCAGATTACGAATTCCTGGGAACCTGGTTTTATATAATTTTGGGGTTGTCTGTGAGAATGCTTTCAAAGCCTGGTGTGAATCTCACTAAACCAGGTGAGAAGAGGTCTCAGTAGATGCCACCTAGCTACTCACATCAGATCCCCGGGTTTCAGCTCCCCCTTCTCCCCCCACCCCCCATTCCCTGGAACAGACTCCATACCCTCTGATCTGGTTCTGGGGCCCTTGCCTTACTTAGAATGAGTCAGCTATCAGCATCCCAGAATCTCCAAACTCTACCTGACTAGGCTGTGAGAGACTCTTCGCCTCTGTGACCAGGGAGCCCTCTCTCATCTGTCTTCATCTATCCCTGGCTCCCAGCTAAGAGAACCCTAACACAAGCAGCCTTTTCATCTGGCAACAGTTTGCGGTAGTTCGACTTTTTTAAAGGGTTGCTGGGCACTGCCCCCAGGCCTTACACATCTGGTAAGTCCTCACCAACCAACCGTACCGTGGCCCCCTTCACACGTTATGGTTTATATGAGACCCTGTTTGTTTTTGAGACAGGGTCTCTTGTAGTCCAGGTTGGCCTTGAATTCACTATTGTAGGAGAGGCTGGGCATGAATTCCTGACCCTTCACTTTTACCTTCTGCTGAGAGTCCAGATGTGCGCCGCCATACTCAACTCGTTGAAGCCATTTTTCAAAGGAAAGTACAGATTTTCTAGTTATTTCAGGCTTTCAAACCACGCCTGTCTCCAAGCCCGGACCAACACTTGTTTCCGTAGACAAGAATGTCAGGCATGAGTGATCCGAGTAGTGGACATTGTAATCCCAGCACTTGGAAAATACTGACAGGAAAATCAGGTTGTCCTCAGCCACACAGTGAGTTCAAAACACAAGTTGGGCAGGGTGCCAGGCCTAAGCAGGTATCAGAGCTCACTATCTACAATCTGGGCTAAATAGCACAAGGAGAAAACAACCTAAATTTGCTTTTGCCCCCATTCTCATGTGTCAGCCAGGATGTGTGGATGACATGCCCCGTATCTCCTTAAATTCTTTCCTTCAGGAATCAATGACTCTGAGCCCCACCCCTTAGCGGTAAGGCTGCAGCGACTCAACATGCCGTGCAAGGCAGCTCGCATTGACAGAACACATTCCTTGCTCCACAGTATCTGGCTAGAACCAGGGAGGGGTTGTTTCAGGCTGAGCAAATGCTGCACTAGCAATACACTCCCCGGCCCGGGTGAACAACATACTTCCATTTTAGTCCTGGCAACCAAGGTGTGGATACTAGGGTTCCTATCTCCCATGGCCCCTCCAGTAAATAACACTAATCCCCTTGAGGAAGCTTCACCTTCACAACCTGTCACCTCCCAAGGGCACCATCTGGACATCATCATCACTAGGCGTGAGGCCCTCATGTTTCTGAATGGAGACGTGAGTGCATTTGGGGGAATAAGGAACGTGACTGTGGGACATCTGAAATGCTTCAGAGGTTTGGACATACTGCTTTTGCAAAGGACCCAAGTTAGGTTCCCAGCAGTTCAAAGACGCCTGTTACTACAGCTCCAGGGGACTCGACACCCTCTGGCCTCCGCGGGCAACTACATTCACGCATACACACCCACAGACACACACAAATACACACAATTACCTTTTTTTTTTTTTTTAATGTCTGTGAAATGTAAGTCAGCATATCACTCTTGCAGTCACGAGGAGGTACTGCCTGTGTACAAATGCTCACTTGGGTAGAGACACCCAATTCTGCCTTGTGACAGATCCTGGCTCTCCTGCCTAGGTGGGGTTCTTCTTGCTGTGACAAAATTCTTGACAAAAGCAACTTCAGATTTATTCTGGCTCACGGCTGAAGGCAGAGGAGTACATCACATCCCCAATCAATCAGGAAGCTGCTTAATTTCTCCTTTTTCCCTTTTCAATCAGCGAGACCCCCAGGCCACAGGATGGTACCACCCACATTCAAGGTGGGTCTTCCTTTCTCAGTTAATCTCTGGAAACAGTTTCACAGACACACCCTGAGGTCTGTCTCCTAGGTGATCCCATACCCAGTTGACAAACCATCAAAGAGAAGCCACTCCTGCCTGCACCACAGTGGTCAGCGTTATGCCCAGTGCCCGTGAACAAAACAGGAAGGAGCCTCTGCTCAGGTGTCCACAGGAAGTCATGTCTCAGCGGTCACGTCTACCATGTATGCCACCTCCAGCTCACCACATGACGTCTTCCGTGCTTTCGGCCAAGCACTGAGCAAGGTGGCTATCCACGTCCAGCTGGGACAGCCTGCGAGGGAGAGGAAACAGTCACAAGGCTGGGAGAGTGCTAGACACAGGAAGGGTAGCTCCACATATTTCTAAACCGCTGAGAAGAGTCCTAGACTCTCCCATGGCTGGTAAGGGAGTCCTAGACTCTCCCATGGCTGGTAAGGGAGTCCTAGACTCTCCCATGGCTGGTAAGGGAGTCCTAGACTCTCCCATGGCTGGTAAGGGAGTCCTAGACTCTCCCATGGCTGGTAAGGGAGTCCTAGACTCTCCCATGGTAAGTAGGGCTCACCAGGACCTTCGCAGGTTGAGCTAAGCCTTCCCTGACCTGGGAACCCTTCTTCGCACCAGAGTCTTAGTCCTGCAGACTTTTACCCTGACCAGTGTCTGAGACGCTCCCATCTCACACGTTGCCTCACTCACGCTGGCCCATGCCAAAAGCTAGCCCCAAAGACCCTCTGGGGCCAGCAAGATGGCTCAGTGACTGAAGCACTTGCTGCCAAACCTGAGTTCAGTCTCTGGAATCCACACGATAAAAGAACCAACTCCCCAAAGTTAGTTTCCCTCTGACTTGACTCTCCAATGCAGGCCCTCCTCAAACCCCAAGCCTGTCTATAGCAGGACCACTATCTCCCACTGAAGGACAAACCCAGAAACACCACCACTTATTACAACACCCTGTGTCTCTCCCAGCAGCCAACCCACCTTGTACGTGTGAATGTGCCCACAGAAGTCCTGAGGTGAATCCCCACAAGTCCTGAAGACCCTCTGGATATCCTACTGGCCAACCAGATACCCATTACCTTCCCTCACAGGCATCCCAGGCCCTGGCCTGCTCACCATATCCTAGCTGACCCACACCCAGGTCAATGGCCAAAATGGAAACAGACCTCCCCTAAGATTTACAACAGAAAATGGATAGCACGCTCCTCACCCCCCCTCCCCGTTCCCAGGCCCTATGACTTTCAATGGATCTCTAACTTGACAGTCCCCAACAAATGGTCTCTGAAGTCTCCGAGAGCCCTCGACCAACACTTCCCTCCCTCCAGCTTTCTGCAAGGCACCTCAAAGTTCTGTGTGGATCTCAGTCATGTGTTGGGAGTCCCTCAAGTGGCTTCTCAGGGATTCCTCCAGATGCTACCCCACAACAAAGGAGCCGTTTCTGTAGAACTCATTCCACAGCTGGGCTTCTGCTAACTCCCAGACACAGCTGAGCCCTGGCTATGGCTAACCAGTACGGATTCGGGGACTTCAGCCCCAGAATCTGAATATGAACTAACTATTAGAGTCACAACCATGAGTTAGGCATGGCACACACCTGTCATCCCAGCTACTCTGAAGGCCCAGCAAGATGACTGACTGTTCAGACATTCAAGGCCTAGGGCAGGAGGGACACACACCTGAGAGAGAGAGACAGACAGAGAGAAGCAATCACAGCCACCAGTATCAGTAATAACTAGGGTCTGGTCATCCCCAGTTAGTGGACTGTCTCACCAGTTACCTATCTAACACATAAATATCAGACAATACAGTGGTTTCCCTCTCTGTGGGCCCTGCATCTGCAGATTGAAACAACCACAGATAAAAAGTACTTTAAAAAACAGTGACTCTACTAAATATAAACAGACTTCTTGCCCTTGTCTTTATTCCCTACACAATACATAAAGACACCTAGAGAGGTAGGGTTTATGAAGTAACAACTGTGTTTATGTAAAAAAAAAAAAAAAGACAAGCATCTATAGACTGGTACACTGGATGCAGTCCTATTGTTATGAGTAGGTTTTCCCACCTGTCTGGTCCCACCGCCACGCCAGCCCCAAATAATACACAGAGACTCCGTATTAGATATAATTCTGTTGGCCAGGAACTAGTTTCTTCTCAGCTAGCTCTGTCTTAATTATTAACCCATTTCTTTTAATCTAAGTATTTTCACGTGGTCTCATCTTACCGGAGAGTGGGCCCAGACCTCTGTCTGTCCATCTTTACATGCTGACTCCTCCTTCCTACTTCCTCCTTCTTCCTTGTCTCCTAGTCCCTCCTATCTTCCTTTCCTATTGGCCAACAGTGCTTTATTCATTAACCAATAAGAGAAGCATATTTACAGAATGACATCTCCCATCATCTCCTCTTTTCATAAGAAACAATTAACTGGCCAACAGCATATTATCAAATACAGAATCTCGGTGTGTTATTTGGGGCAGGCATGGCTGTGGGACCAGCGGTGGGGAAAAACTACTTGTAACACAGTGCCCAGTAGTGAGAGACATCTGTGTGAAGTATATGAATATAGCAGCAAGATCTTCTTGGAACAACCCTGCATGCATGTCAACCCAGTCCCTAATACCTGTCACATTTAGGGATAAAATAGTGGTCCACGTGGCTCAGACAGTACTAAAGGAAAGAAAAACTGGTGTGGTCCTCCCTCAGAAGTGTCCCCAGGCTCACTTGTGACCGTTCGGGTGGGCAGCAATGTCTGTACAGACTGCCCTCAGAGGACAATATGGCAGCTCAATCTGGGTCTAGCTGCCAAACTGACCTGTCCAAAGCCAGTCTGCCTCCTTACCTGGGTCTTGCCCATTGTGACCACAGCCTGCCATCTAAGCCCCAGAACATCCTGCATTGTGACAGGAATGAAAGGGAGTTCCTTCAAGGGCATGGGACATGAGCTCCCCCAAGCCAGCCTGATAATGTGGCTGCCACCCCAAGGGTGCTCTACAGATCAACGTAAGAACATGGTACAGCTACAGACTTGAGCCTACCTTGCTGATACGACTTTGGGAAAATCAAGGCACTGTGCCAGGCCTTCATACAGCCACTTGAAAGGTACCCGATGGACAGAGGTTCCTTCTTCAAGGTTCAGGAGTCTTTTCTTAGACAGTGTAGACATGCAAGGACAGCACAGACAGACAGCCTTCCTGGAGCAAAAAGGTGATGGGACCCTGACAAGATTTTATGGGCTCTTTGGGAATGAATTTCCCAAAAGGGTTCCCAACCCCAACTTCTATCCCTGGGTCTCTTCACAGATAAGAATATGGAGATGTCAACTTTATAAACCATTCACTGTCACATGAACAGGACCCCGCTTGGGGACAGCTGCAACCTGACAAGCCAGCCCACACTCAACATGCCTTTGTCTGAGCAATATGGGTAGAAATAGGGTTGGGACTGGGGCTCCTCCCAATTTCATAAAGGCTTGATTCTGATAAGAAGCCACATTTTGGAGCCACATGTTGAAGTACCTGCTGTGCAAACATTAGCCACATAAAAAGCAAGCACTGGCTGTATACCTAAATCCTGGGGTGGCAGGAGAGATGGGTAGATCCCTGGAGCTCATTGGCCAGCCAGCCTAGCCAAAGCAGTGAGTTTTAGGTTCAGCGAGAGACTCTCTCAAATAAGGTGAGAAGTGATCAAAAAAAAAACAAAAAACAAAAAACAAAAACAAAAACAAAAAACAAACCTCACCTGTCGTTGGTGGCACACACCTTTAATCCCAGCATTCAGGAGGCAGAGGCAAGCAGATCTCTGTGAGTTCCAGGCCAGCCTGGTCTACAGAGCGAGATCCAGGACAGGCTCCAAAACAATACAGAGAAACCCTGTCTCGAAAAAAAAAGCTCTTGACCTGGCTTGCTTGCACCCACATGGGTAACTCTGTGCACAAACCTACATGAACATACACACGTACCACACAAACAATAATGAGAACATTTTGTTCTGTTTTGTTTTTTGAGACAGGGCCTTTCTACATACCGTCTAAAACCAAAACATACCGCCCTTGAGCCTAGCAACAGTGGGCTCAAGTTCTACAAGTTTCTGTGGTGGTACATTCCTGAAATATCCCAGCACTTGGGAGGTAGAAGCAAGAGCATCACCAAGAGTCCAAACAGGCTAGCAAGATGGCTCAGCAAGTCAAGGCACCTGTTGCCAATCCTGAACACCTAAATTCAATCCCTAGTACTCACAGGGTCAAAAGGTGAAAACAGACTTCAACAAGTTTCCCCCTGACCTCCACACACAAGCATGCTGTAGCACCTATGTAAATAAGCTTAATTTAAATATTAGTGAAATAAACCGGGTAGTAGTGGTCCACACCATTAATCCCAACACTCAGGAGGCAGAGACCAGCAGATCTCTGTGAATTTGAGGCCAGCCTGGTCTACAGAGCAAATTCCAGGTCAGCCAGGGGCTACACAGAGAAACCCTGCCTTGAAAACAAACAAACAAAATAGTATAAATAAATAAGGAAGGAAAGAAAGGAAGGAAGGAAGGAAGGAAGGAAAGGAGGAAGGGAGGAAGGGAGGAAGGAAGAAAGAAAGATGGGAGCCACATCCAGGCACTCTCTCAGTCTCCCAAGCAGGTTTTACAATGGGCTAAGTCTTAAGCCTGAGGTGTGTGGCGGAACACTCACGTGGGATCAAATGCCTTCTGGCACAAAGGGCAGCTTAGCAACACAGGCGGACTCTGTACAGACACACACTCTTGGGTGCTGGGAGTCTGATTGGCATCTGGTGCAGGACATCCTCTCAAGGATGGAGTAGGTGACCCCAGGGAGCCTCCAGTCCCTTGGAACAACCGGTTGGAGTTTTCAGAGACAAGGGCAGGTGGAAAAGGCGTCCAGGAAAAGGTCTCGGATCCCACAGTGAAGACCTCAGGGGCCACAGTGGGCTCTGGGTCAGGCAGTGACTCCTGAAAAGCAGATGCCCATAAGGTCAACGCCAGCCATCAACACCATGACCTCCCCCAGGCCCAGGGCCTGAGGACCCTCTCCCAGGCCATCTCCCGTTAGTGCTTCTGGACACACCTGGCTGAGGAAAGCAGGCAGTGGTGGCAATGGCTGACTGTTCGGGGTCAGATCCACGTTCCCGCTCACAGTGCTACGCAGTAGAGCAGCCCATGGCTCGCTCTTCCTGCCTTCCAAGAGAAACCAGGGGCGGCAGTTGGAGACCCTGGGGAAGCACAAGAGGTGTCAGCCAGGGGATTGATCCATGGCAGAGTGTCCCGAGAAAGGGGCTCTACAGTGAGGGGTAGCAAGACTGGGGGCGGGGGTAGCAAGATTCTGGGCGGGGGCAGAAGCAGTGGGCAGTGGAATGTTGGAGAGAGTCCGAAGTGGGGGATCGGGAGTGCACTCTAGGGGAAATGGAGCCTGGGGCTGCGCAGGGAGAGGCTAGATAGGCTGCGGAAAGAGGGGTGGCGGAGGTGGGGGGAAAACGCAGGGTTGGGGCGGAAGAAGCGGCCGCGCCCGGAGAAAGGCGGGGCGTCGCTGGTTGGCAGGCCTCACAGTTGCGGGGTGCGAGTGTGCAAGGAACCCCGTAAACCCCGTGCCTACACGGGAAAGTGGTACCCCATGGTCTTCCCGCGGCCCCAACGCCTACCCGAACCCCCTGCGCCCCCACCCTCTCCGATCCATCCCGCCTCACCCGCCCCCTGCGGGCGGCCTGCGGCGGCTCAGCCTCCCCCGCAGCCTCTGCTCCTCCTCCATCCTCTCCCAAGAGCGTCCGGCGGAAGTGAGCCGTGCAACCCGACCCGCCCTCCCTCCGACCCGGACCAGCTCCCGTGGCCTCCAGACCCCCGCTACCCACTGTGCCGAGTGCCATCTCCCCTTTCTGACACTTGGAAACTAGGGCGCCGGGATCCTAGCCCTTAGGGACACTAGGCTGTCGCCTTGAGGGAGAGGCGGGGCAGGGTGGAGCTACCCTCCAGCTTGCAGGGTTCCGAGATTGGTCCCACCCGACCCTGTGCAGGCAGCTCTGGAGCCTGTGTTCCCCTCTGTTAACACGTGCAGGCAGCTAGCTGTCAGGCCTGCCCTACCAATGCCACCTCCCAGCGGAACTAGACAATGCCCTGCCTCAGTTTCCAGTTCTGCAGCCTTTCCCAGGATGGCCCCATGATCCAACTTTACCACCATTTTATTCCTATAAGGGGGAACTGGGTTTCTCCATCAAAGAGAGAGGCAACCAAACCGCGAAGCCCGGGGCACGAAGCACAGAAACCCAGGCTTCCTCTCTAGCCAATAAACCCTCCCTGCAATCCTGCAGCCCGTCACTTGGTGGCAGCAGACGCCCAGGCACTTTAGGATGTGTGGCGGCGTTCACTAGTGGCTTTCTATTTCTCCACAGCCCCCAGGGGTCAGGGCTGTTCCAAAAACTCCCTGACCCCTCTTCCTGGGTCCTCCTCCCATCCCTAGACGAGGTCACCTCCACCTTGTGTGGTCCAGCCTGGGATTTGTGTCCAGGCCAGTGCCTGGGGATGGATCCTAGGTTGTCTTTTATCTGCAGACTTGAAGAGGATGAGAAGTTTAATCTCCAGAGTATCCTAGAGCACACACCAGGGTCTGGTTGACATTGAGGTCTTTTGGAGAGTGGCCGTCTTGGGACCCTGCCTGTACTAGGCTGAAGAACTCAGAGTGGTAGCCAAACGTGCCGCCAAGGGGCTGCCCATGCAGGAGTTGCCAGCGTGGGGTGGGGTAGTCTCATGCTGCACATCAGGGGTGACCTGGGACTGGGCCACCCAAGTGGGAGGGCAGTTGTGACGAGTTCCAGGTCTAGGAAGAGCCTGCTGATAGAACACTCCCAATCGGCCTGTCCCTGGTCCCCACTGGCCTGGCTCCTGGGCTTTTGATGAAAGTATCACTGTACTTTTGCAGGGGACCTTGAGGACTCTAGGAGGTCTGGCACCAACTTCCAAGCAGGAGGAAAGGCCTGAGGAGGGTGCCCAGCCAAGTGCTTAAAGAGCTCTGTGTGTGGAAGAAGGTCCAGCTCAGCCACATCCTAAAACCACAGCACAGGAGCCTTCCTGAGATCTCCAGCACTCCGTCGTCCTCCCTCCCCCCCCCCCACCTCTCCTCTACAAAGCTCAGATACTCTGACTGCCTACACAGGTGCTACAGCCACTTGACCCCAGAGGGTCAGAATGTGTGTGGCTACCCAAGCAGACTTACCCCAAAGCTGTGGGCTCCCAAAGGAGTTCTCATCAAAGGAGGCGCATGCTCTTAAAGTCCGGAAAGCGAGGATACTCCATTATCTTTTGGCCTTGGCCATTCCAGTGGACTTTTGGCTGTCAGAAAAAAAAAGAGGCCCTGACCCCAGGACAGTCTGCACCAGCTGCAGAACACAGATCCCCAGGCTTAGGACTCTCAAGCAAGTGTGAACGCTGTCCTTCTGGGACTTTGCTTCATTCTAGGGATTGTCCCTTGTTGCTTCCAGGGAGGGGGCCAGGTCTTTGTGGCCTGCAGCCTGGAATCATCCACAGAGAATGGAGTTTAGGAAGATCCTGCTGCTCTATGCTAAGCAAGCAAAGCTCTGTCACCATCCCTCTGACTCTACAGCTTGAATTCACCTGGGGACCCAGCACTTCTAAAAAAAAATTAGGTTTTTTTTAATGTGTATCATTGCTTTGCCTTCATGTATGTATTTGTGCCAAGTGTATCCGGTACCCACAGAGGTTGGAAGAAGATCTTGAATACCCTAGGACTTGGGTTAATTGTGAGCTACCATGTGGGTGCTGGGAAATGAACCCCAGATTCTTTGTAAGAGCAGCTAGTGCTCTTAACTGCTGAGTCATTTCTCTAGATCCACTTTTAGAACCTGAGGAGAGAGAAATAGGGGTGATGGGCAACCCCAGCAAACCTACTTTGTCCCGCCTGTCTGCAAATGTTAACACAACAGGCTTTAAAAGTTGAATTTTGGTGGTTCATGCCTTTAACCCCAGCAATTGGGAGGCAGAGGCAGGTGGATCTCTGTGAGTTCGACGACAGCCTGTTCTACAGAGTGAGTTCTAGGACAGCCAGAGTTGTGTAGAAAGACCCTGTCTCAAAAAATAAAGGAAACCAACAGTTGGATTTGGGCTGGGGAGATGGTGAAGTGAGTAAAATGCTTGCAGTGCAATGACTGGGACCTGAGTTCAGTTCTCAAGACCCAGGTGAAGCCAGGCAGGACAGTACAAGTATGCAATTCCAGTGCTGCCGTGAGATAGGAGGCAGGGACAGAAGAATCCCCTGAAACCTTTGGGCCAGCTAGCCTGGTACACAATGCCAAACAAGACTGTCCCAAACAACAGCAGAAGCTTTCCTCTGACCTCCATGCCTGCACACCACAGAGGGGAGGGTTTTTTTTTGTTTGTTTGTTTGTTTTGTTTTGTTTTTTTTTAATTAATCAAAAAGTACAAGTTGAGCTTGGTGAAAAGATCCACACTCCTGGAGCCCTGTGCTGTGGCAGCAAAGAATCAGCTTTATTGGAAAATAATTTCTGGTTGGGACTCACCCTTGCACTGGAGAAACAGCTTTGTTGTGAGGCACAATTCACATTTACAAAAGGGTGTTTCAGCCCTTTGGAGGAGACACATGGGTGAAGCAGAAAGTGTTCCGGTGTGGGAGGCAATGAGGCCTCCTGCATTCAGAGTCCCCCAGGTTGGAGGCCACCTTGGGCTTTGTCCTCCATTTGGCCTTTTATTATTATTGTTGTTGTTTGTTTGTTTTTGGAAGAAGAGCCCAAACTCTATCCTCCAAAGCTAGTCTCAAAAATGAAAAGAGCCTGCCAGCCAGGTTGCTGTCTGTCAGCAAGCTGTTTCCTCAGGGCGCCCTTGACAGCAAAGCTGTCCCAGGATTGGTCTTTGCCACCAACAGGGGCTCGTTGGCTGCTGGATTAGGCGAATTTGTCCATCAGGCCCCAGTCTTCAGCCTTTGGGGTAGTCTAAGTCCCGCTTGGCTCCATATGCTCCCCTTACCTTCTTGGAAATTGGGGTTATCATTAATTTACCCTACAAATGACTGCGTACGTCTGTGACCAAGTCCAGAAAGGAGCACAGGCTCTACATTTCAGGTGGGACCGTGGCACGCATGCACGCGGCACTCAGCCGTCTCCACTGGAACAGCAGCTCAGCTACTGGGGGGGGGGGTACCTCAGCAACACTCATTGGCTGTGTGAGGGTGTCCGGGAGGCCTGGGATGCCTTCTCCGCCTAAGTGGCCTTACGACACCGCCAGGCAGAGGGGCTGTAGTCTCTACACCTGCTGGCCTGTGTATGCCAAGCAGGCAAGGCTGCCTGGAGCCAGGCACGGCGGCATTTATGGGGTGTGGGAGTGCCAGGCAGACAGGCTGTATGAGACAGTTGCCTGGGAAACATCGCAGGATCCGTCAGGCAGCAGAGTGGTTGTTCAGGCCCGCACATGGGGTGTGGGGGCAAGGGTGTGCGGGGGAGGGGGAGGTGCAGCTCCTTTGTGGTTACCTCCTCAAGCCTCCAGTGGGGGATCATGGCCAGGACCTGCACGTGGTCAGCAGGCCAAAGCCAAGGGCAGGGCAACCAAACCCAAAAAGCCAACGGATACTGGGATTGAGGGCACGGGGGGGGGGGGTGTAACAAGAACTTGCCCCATTTCAGCTCTCCCCTCTGGGCCACCCTCCTGGCCAACATTTCCACCTGGCCACTCTGTCTGCTCACAGTGGTGCTTCTAACATACTATTGCAAACCCTCTTATAGCCGGGTTCTTGTTCAGCCCAGGGTCCATGCCTTTGTTGTCTCTTCGGGGGGTGGGGGGGAGCTAGCTCCTGCAGCCCTAAGGCCCAGCCTCAACATGAAGCCTGCCCCCCCCCCCGGTGCCCTTTCTAGGTTTTCCTGAAACACAAACTGTAGGGAAATTTCCAGAGGGCATTTCTGCATACTGTGCCCCAGCTGTGTCCAGGGCTTCAGAAGGAACCGCAGGACCACAGGTACAGCAGAGACAGGGACCAACCAAGCCCTAGGGAACAGGGGCGGCAGAAGGGGAAAACTTGGGGCCCCTCCTGTGGAGACAACAAGTCAAGCAGAAACCAAGCTTTCCTGGTGCATGGGGTAAGTGGGAGCCCCAGGGGACTCCCCAAGGAGGCTGTGGTTTCTCAGCTCCCACAGAGTCAGCCTTGACCCGGATCCAAGAGCATTTACAGGAAACCTGCTCATGGGAAGGCCCTTGACCCAGATGCTGGAGGTCCCTTAAACTTCTGGACCCCTCAGCCAGCCAGGTGGGGTACACAATTCATGGATGGTGTTTGTCACATCCCTCAGTTTCAGGCTGTGACCTGCTGCACTTTAACTTTCTGGCTTGGGGTTTTGTTGTTGTTGATGATTTTCCCCCTTGCTCCTGGGGACAGAACCCAAGGCGTGCTTCCCGAGCTGCATCCCCACCCTGAATGGCTCAGAGTCCTTCACATGGCACTGCATGAATACCTCCGATACTCCTTGCACTGGAAAATAAAGTAGGTGGGCCATCCAGACCCTGCACATAGCTCAGGCGCCTGAGGTCCAGGGATACAAGGACAAGAGCAACTTCTCTAGGCTTCACAGCACTTTCTAGAAGAAACCAGAACACAGTGAGCAGGGAATTGAGAAGGCATTCCTGGGGGGGCCTGTCTTTGTGTTTGCTCACCTGGAAGAATTGTATGTTATAGGAAAAAAAAAAAAAAAACCTGAAATGTATTTGGCTCAGTGTGTGTGTGCGTGTGCGCATGCGCGTGTGTGTTCATAA